AATATAGTGATTTGTTCCTCTTAGTAATACATTCGTTATTCCAGATAATAGATCTATGTGGAGAAAAGTTATGTGAATAACATAATTTCCAAGCCAACAATGCCTGTTGATAAAATGCAGACATTTTAACTGGTAACTTTGATATACTGTAACTACAAGACAATAGGAAGTGTAAACCTCCAACATTTCTAAAAATGTTATGTGGATTGAAATGCCATAATGATCCAGGAGATTTTAAGCGTTCTTTTAGCCATTTCACCTTAAATGTATAGTTCAGGACCCATGAAGTCCAGAAGGCCAAAACCACCTTTATCTTTAGGTCCACAAACAAAGATTTTTTTAGATGATGGTGCTTATTCTTCCATACAAAGTTAACAAATAAGTTATTAACATTTTTACGTGGGTTATGTTCTCAGGTTCTCAGATAGATTATGACTGACGTCATGTACTTCCTGCAGGTTCACGTGACGCTCTCACGGTCACGTGGGTGGGCTTCATCCGTGTTGTTGTTGATCGGGTGCCGATCACATGGTAGGATTTTGCGCATGCGCGAGCTGTTAATGGCTGATGGAGAGAAGATGCCCACTGCCTCCATCCCCGTGTAGCGCAGGAGAGCTCCAGCCCGCTCCCGTTTGGCGCGCATTGCGCAGACTGCCGTTTTTCCGCACAGCTGCAGGCCGCAGTCCGACACGAGAGGCCCGATGTCCGTGGCTAACGCTAAACACACGGTTCTGAATCCGGTAAGCGGATTATTATTATCATCATCTCCATCAGCCCTCTGATGGCTGCATGCTCTGCTGTCTGCACGCATGCAGTTTCTAGCGCTGTCCGCACATCTGCCCACACACCTGTCCACATCTGTCTGTCTGACCACACTCGAATGAAGACACGAGGCTCTCTGAGGTTTCCATGTCCGCTCTGCAGGTGATCCCATACACTGGACCCATACCTGGTGGCCTGCACCCCGGGGAGATCATCATCGTCCAGGGCACCGTCCCCCCCGATGCTGACAGGTAAGATTCAAATCAAACAGCAGCAGTTTGTTCTGTTCATGCAGGAAACCTAACAAAGAAAAAATCTCCCCCTGCAAACATTTTCAGCTAAAAGAGAATGAAAGTTGACCCATGACGCTGTTTTCAGGTGTGTGTGATATTTATTGTATTACTGAACTCTTCCATACCTGCTTTGCTTGATTTAAAGTCCACAATAATCCTTCTGTATATTATTCTGGAACTAAGTGCAGCATCTCAGTCCATCCTGCCTGAAACAAGCCCCCTTTGTTCTGATTGGCTGCCCCTCACCTGTCAAGTTTGGTTTCTGGATTTTGCTGCAGATTCAAAAACTTCATTTTGTGTTGATTTGTAAAAATATTTATACTTAATAGTTTCACAAGTTGTATAATCAAAGGATATTTAAAGTGCTTATTATAAACTGTGGCACCTTTCACAATCATATAGATTATATTATTGAACCATAATTATTGATCTTTGTATAACTTTAATGTTCTAGCTGCTGCTGATTGAGATGATTTTTATATTGCAGGGTAGTTTGTATCTGTGCAGGTGTGCTGTCACATGTTACCGATGCTGCTCTGTCACAGAGGGGAAATGCTCGAGAACCTGCTGACGTGAAATATTCAGTAATTCATATTTTGGTGAAAGCAGCAGCGTTACATGTGAAGCAAATGAGTGAAGCTGAAAAGAGGAAGTGATGGTGAATAGTTTGTTTTTATTGAAATAGTGTTTCCACACACAGCGAGGCCTCCTGTGGTTTCGTTGTTTCCAGATGTTACAGCTGTTTTATGTTCGCTGATAAAACGAAACTTAAATCTTTCTGCTGTGAGTTTGTAGCACAAACGTCTCTGACTGCAGGTGCTGTCCGTGGTTCTGATCAAAAGGTGAAACGATGTTGAGGTTACTGGTTATTGATATGTGATATTATTTTGGTGTGTACAGTGTGCGTGGGGGGTTGTGTGTCTGTTTAGGTACGATGTAGCAGCAAGGACCCAAAAACTCCGGAGCCTCTCACAGAGCTGTTCACTTCTCACTCATGCTGGAGACCCAATCTGCTCAGTTCTGTTTCTAGATTAGAGATTAGGTTTGAAATCATCGTCTGCTGGCCAATCAGAAAAGTGCCGCTGTTCCTGGACCCTCACAGGGTCTGAAGGTTTTTACCATCCAAAGTCTTTATGTCATGAGCATCAGTGAGAACTATAGAAACTTAATTCCTGATTTATTTACATTTCCTCTTTCCTTAAACAGCTCCGACACTGCAGCTCAATCAAATGTCTCACTCACATCTAAATGTTCCTTTAACCTCCTAGGACCTCCATCCACATATGTGGACATCACATTTTGGGTTATTTAGACCAAAATACTCAATTTTGCTCTACGAGGGCCTGATATCCACTTACGAGGACATTCTGCTGCTACTGTTCTATCAACATTTTAAACGAATATCCTCATATGTGGCTCTGATTTTTCTTAAAAACAAAAATAAGGTAAAAAAGAAAATCTGGTAATTCTTTGTTTTTACATTCATCGGGCCCCAATGAGCCCAAATATCAAAGAGAAATTAAAAATGCTGCTGTGGAAGAGTTCGGGTCTTAGGAGGTTAATGAAGATCCGTTCACTGCCAACTCTTTCCTTCCTGATTCAAATAAACTTTATGAACACAGACTGACTGAGCAAAGCTCTGGATGCTCACACACACTCAGTCTGTATTTAACTCGTCAGTTTTGTCTTCATCTGTACACTCAGCCACTTCACTGTCAGTAAACCTGATTGGTCAGATGCTGAAACCCCGCCTCCTGCTGGGTTTACTGGGATCGCTGAGAAGTTACCCTGGATGTGCTGATCTGTGCACATTCAGTTCCAGTTGCAGAGAACAGGTCCAGGATCAGTTTGGCTGATATCAATGAGGTTGTTATTCTCTTCGGTGATCATGCATCGCTCCCAGCTCTGCTACAGTCAGACCACTCAAAGTCTCTCTCTCTTTTCTTTAAATCACATCTGAGAGCTCAGCTGTTCTGCCAACTGGGTTCAGAATAAAAGGATGGAGTTACATCCACGTGGAGTTTAAGTTAAACGTTGATGCACGACATGATTTAATGGGCAGTTAAACTTTGTGCAGGTTTCAGATCGACCTGTCGAGTGGCTGCAGCACCAAACCACGCTCTGACGTCGCCCTCCACTTCAGCCCTCGCTTCAAGGGCTCGCCCTGTGTGGTGTGCAACTCCCTGCTGCAGGAGAGCTGGGGCAGAGAGGAGACGCTCCACCAGCTGCCCTACAAGCGCGGCGCCCCCTTCGAGACGATCATCCTGGTGCATGAAGACGCCTTCAAGGTCTGTGAGCCCGAGCTGGTGGAGATGGTAGGCCTGCATGTGGAACCGAAAGATAACGCTCCTTGTTCACCTGCAGGTGGCGGTAAATGGAGCGCACCTGCTGGAATACAAGCACAGAATTCCTCTGAACAGGGTTGACACCTTCTCCATCTGTGGGAAAGTCAGGGTGAACGCTATCGGCTACATCCCAAACTCAGTGAGTACATGTCTGTCTCATATTTCAGGTTTTTTGCCGCTCGTGTCTAAATGTGCGTTTTCTCCCTCTCAGGCAATATTCTCAGAATCAGGGGACCTGGTGAGTTTTTACCTTTAAACTGCTAAAACTCGATCACATGTCCAAACTCTTATCAGACGTTTAGGTTTCACTGCTGTTTCAGAGCCTCCCTTACAAAGGCAGCATCCTCAAAGGCCTGAGCCCAGGACAGCACATCACAATCAAAGGGCAGGTCAGCATGTATCCTCACAGGTAAACATTCAGACACGTATATGAATCTGTGTGCGAGTTATCCAGAACCGCCCATCTCACAGTGATGCACGCTCATACGTTGCTCCAGTTTTACCGTGAACCTCCGGAACAGCCGGACGGAGAACATCGCTCTCCACCTGAACCCCCGCATGAAGTCCAGCGTGTTCATCAGGAACTCGTACCTGGGTGAGTCCTGGGGTCAGGAGGAGCGGGAGCTGCCCTTCTTTCCATTCTCCTCAGGAGAATACTTTGAGGTAAGGACCACCTGCAGCTTCTCAACGCTTTTAAAGGCCTTCTGCTTCTTCAGAGACTTTTTTAAAATTTCTTCCTCAGATCCTTCTCCTCTGTCAGCCACATCGGTTCAAGCTGGCGGTGAACGGCTCGCACCTGTTCGAGTTCAGACACCGGGTGCAGGACCTGAGCAGCATCGACCAGCTGGAGATCATGGGAGACCTGGAGCTCACCGACGTCAAGCTGTGGTGACTCGCACGGAAACCGGCGTCTCCGATGCTCCTGGGTTCTGGTTATCGTGCTAAATTAGCTTAGCCACAGCAACCTGGGCATGGATGGTTCTAAGCTAGTCTGGCACGGAGGCCGTGGACGGGTCTTAAATGAACGGTTTCCAGCTGAGACTGGATGATGCATGACGGTAAGCCGTGCTGCAGCTGACTGTGGTGTCCCTGGACCGTTTCTTTTCTTGTCTCTAGTGCATCTCTGCTGTGATACAGCCTGTGTAACTAAACCCGGAAATAAATGTGAATGTTAAGAAGCTCTCGACACCTGGCTCTGCTTACGTGTTAATTATAAGACTGTCAGCAAAACAGTGAAATAAATACAAGGACTGCATTCTTCTGTACAGCTCACATAGAAAACAAAATCCAGGAAGTGCAGTTTTTACTGCATCATTGAAGTCACAGCTTTCATTTGCATTAGTTTTTAATCACTTTAAAATAATATTTGAAATACATGAAAATGTCCCACACACCTGACAGGCAGCACTCTGTGCAGCGCGAGATAATAAGATTTAAATAACTGTGACAGGTCCGTCAGAGGAGCGAGTCCTGCTCCAGTAATCTGAGGTTCCCTCTCGTCTCCTTTATAATCACCTGTGGTTAAAAATGTAACCCAGTCAGGCTGCATGTGTCACACATTATTTAATGACAAACGTGTTCCTGTTATCCTGCTGTTATCATTCAAACCTGAGGATGATCAGCAGCCTTCAGCGATTCTTCACCTCCTCAGATCCATCATCGGGAGCCTTTTTTAAATTTTATAGCCTCACATGTTCGCCGGCCTCCGTGGATTTGGACCCCCATAGCAAAGATTTAAAAGTGTGCTCTCCATAACTGTCTCGCCAGTAATAAAACACGTAAATAAAAACAAAAAAACCTGAATTTCATTCATAACAGAAAGGAAAACATCAAATGTAAAGCTCGTTTTGAATTTGATGACAGCAAAACGTCAAAGAGAAAAAGGTTAAAAAGCAGCTGGAGGAACATTTTTCAGCAGCGCAGTCATGTGACTGGGTATTAAAAAAAATAAAATAAAATACACAGAACAGAGGTTCACAAAAAACAGTTTATAAAATGTTCCTGACACAAATGTGAAGATTTCAAACGTGTGCAGACTTTTAGAAACATGTTGCTGCCCTCAAAATCAAAATTAGCCAATGCGCCTCATCTTCTCAGTTTGAATATTTGAAATGTTTTTTTGTTTATGTTCTATTATGAATAAATTATGGGTTTAAGAAGAATATCCTTAAATCTTATTATTTACATTTTAATTCCTCCCAACTTTCAGGAATTGTGTTTGCAATTCTTTAACTTCCCAAACACAAACATGGTTTTACTGTAACCGCCCACAGAGGGGTCACGTGGGGTCACAGACTGATGACGAGGCTCAGATATTTGTGGCTTTTGTTGGTCAAAAACTGAAATTCAGGGATCCTTAAATAATAATGTGATTTTTGTTCGTCTCAGCAGACCAACAGAGAACTGTGAGTCATCACGCCGTCTTTTAGCCTTTAAAGTCAGCCTACAGCTGGTGTGACATCACACTAATGTTAGTAAACATGAGGCTGATATCCTTTCCTCTTGGTTTCATAAGAGAATGTAAATTTAAATCTTAGCTGCAGTGTTTCTGCTCGACCACAAGGGGGTGGAAGAGCATTAAAGTGGGAGTGTCAGTTTCTACCAAACCATCAGCGTCTTTGGCCACAGGCTGACCCTCTGAGGTGTGGACCCACAGCTCTTCTGTTTCAGGCCTTTTCTGTGCGTCCAGCTCAGAGCTCAAAATCATCCATAAATGTTAAAACGTCAGCATCACATGACTGTCACACAAACGCCTTCGATAGAAACGCAGCCGAATGTGATAAAAAGATGTTTTTATTAATATCCACAGGAAATATAATCTGTAAGTTGTAATAACCATAGTACAATACAACAGTCTCTTTTACATAGAAAAGCCTGATGATATGCAACATGAAGACATCAACCATCGCACCGCTGACCATGTCCAAGAAAAAAAAAAAAAAAAGGCAAGAAGACACCGTCCAATCAGCAACGGGCACACAGGAGAAGGTTTTAGAAAAGAAGTGAGTCAGAGCTGCGACGCTCAGCCTTCTCACCCAAACTTTTATTTTGGATTGAAGTGGAACAAAAACCTGAAACGTCTCCTGTGAAGTTTCCAAAGAGTTAACGGATTAAACTTCCCCGGAGTTTCAAACAAAAATAACAGGAAGGATCTTCCAGCTCCAGCTGCGACGTTTGGGAAGAAAAACGTCAGAAGACAAATCTGATTTAGGTCCACAGGTTCCAACAGCTGAGTTTAAACCACCACCTGTGAGCGTGGGTGGGGGTCAGCAGACTTCAGTGATCTCAGTGTTTTCATTGGGGGCGTCAGACGGAGCTGAGCTTCACCAGCCCTCTGACGGAGTCCTCGTGCAGGGAGTCCTGGCTGGCCGGGTCGTAGAAGCCGGCCTGCGTGGTGTGGCTGTGGCCCATGGGGCTGCCGCAGTGAAGCATGCCGGGCGGCGACGGCACTTCCTCTGGCGTAAGGAAGTGGTGCTGGAACAACGACTCCTGCAGGGGGTTGCTGTGGTTGTGTGTGAGGGTGTGTCCATGGACCGGCAGCTTGTCGGCGGCCTCGTGGCAGCTTAAGCTGGAGGTGGAGGTCGGAGGGGTGGGCTGGCCGAGGGGCAGTGAGGTGCAGGGCCCCGTCAGGGCGAGGGAGGCGCGGCCAGGTAGCGCCCCTCCGTTTTCGGGGGATGTGGTTAGGATGACAGGCTCGCTGCTCTGGTGTTGGAGTAGCGGGGTGGCGGCGGCCTGCAAAACGAATTTGGTGCTCTGAATGCACTGGTCTTGGTCACACTGAGAGAAAGCACCAATGAGGAGAAGGGAGGAGGGAGGGGGTGTGCGGGTCAAAGCAACAGACATTGGGGGGGAGAGATGGCAGTGACGCAGAATTTGAAAATTGCAAAGAAGAAAACACAAACGAAAGGAAGGCGTGAAGACGACAAAGGAGGGAAGGGAGAGAAAGAAAGAGAAGGTGTTAGTGTCCCGTTAGGATGCAGAGCCACAGCCGCTCAGCTCAATACACAGAGCTGCTATTAAGTCCCTGCTTCATGGCCTATTGATCGCCTCGCTGTGGATGTGTCAATAACGAGCGGTAACTGGGTTAGGACGCCGAGTCGGCGATAACACACATCAGCCACAGAGAGATTAGCTTTAACCCTGTTAGCCGTTTGTCACCACAAAGTCATCAATATTACAGAGCAGCTGCAGATGAAAAGCCCACAGGGTGTGAGAGGTACCAGAAATTAAAAGCATAATAATCAGGAAGAGCCCCGTGACGCAGCCTCCCACCCCACACCGCCCCCAAAGCCTCACGGGGAGGAAATGGGAAGCACAGAGGTTCGTCCTCCACATCTCACCTTTCTGCCTCAATCTCACTGACCTGAAAAGAGCAGATTACAGACATGATGTAAACACAGGCCGAGCGACCTTTGACAGCAGAACAGATGTGCTTTTAAGTGTTATCAGTCCTCCATGTATCGACTTATGGAAGCTAGGCTCAGGTTGTTGCACTGCAACGACAGGAAACGCGCTCACCTCCACGTTAGCGCCAGGCTACGTCATCGGTGTTTGATGGAAAATAGAGTGCTGTCAGGCTTTGTGAACACCGACTGACTCATTAGCAGCAAGGCAGAAACAATACCTAGATGGGCTGCTGACCACAGGCCGTGTTGGGCTTTCACATTCCTGTAATCCCAACATTCAGCCCACATTTACTCTGGTTTTGCCTCAGTAGAAGGATACTATGACAGGAAGACACTCATTTCTCTGTTCCTGAGACGTCGTCAGGAGACGCACTGCTTTATTCAGATGTCCAAAAACTTGGATTTTCTCTGAACCACAGAGCACCAAACCTGAGAGTAATCTTTTGGTGTCAGTAAATCTGACCTCTACCGCTAATGTGCGAGCCTCTCTCCCCCTCTCAGAGAGACTCAGACACTGACACCCTGCTGTAGGAGCACAGCGAGGTTTCTACAGGTATTTAGGACAGTTTTATTTGCAGTCACATGTCTCGTACAGCCAGGTAAACAGTTTTTGTGTCAGCTCTCGCAGCGTGCTGTACAAAGCTGATTCTACTTGTGTTTCATATTTAAACAAATCTGAAGAGGACTGGAGAGATTAGAGTGACGCGTGTTATTCCCGACAACATTAACGGATAATAAGTCACACAGTGGTCTGGGACATTCGAACATCTGATCCGAGCGCTTTAAAGTCCGGAGATGCTTTGTGAGATCTCCCCTCCTTAAAGTGGGAACTGATGTGAGCCTCTCAGGGAGGCCTGTGATGACTGCAGTCAGTCTCTCTCCTTTTACTGAGTCAAATCCAGAAAGCAGGGTTTGTTTATCAAAGTGCAATGACATCGTTTCACACGCAGTTACCGTGGCAACAGCTTAAAAAGTCTCCGTCGATTTAAAGCTGCATCACAAAGAAACAAACGTGCGTTTGCCAACACGGAGCTAAAAATGCCCGGCTTAACGTGCGACACACACCAACAACAACATAACACACACACAACGACGTGGTTGGTGTGCGCGCTCCGACCTGCCAACTGTTTGCTTTTAATCAATAATCTGATTTAAATACACTAAAGAACTAGTTTACACACACACACACACACACACACACACACAGGTCCCAGACCTGGACAGCTACACGTTAAGCACTGACGGTGTCCAGGCAAACAGCCAGGACGACTGCGGCTGCTCATCATGACCGCTACAGGAGACAGATGGTGGTTATTTGTGGACGTGCTAACATTGGGGAATGTTCCCGTGGCTTTCAGCCCAACGGTCCATTCAAGAGATCATGACTGATGACGTCAGCGTTTAACATCTCGGTGAGAATAACCAGGACGAGGTCGAGCCTCTGTGCCAACAAGGACACGGCAGAGGGAAAGGTGTTCAGTAGCTGTGTGCGAGGAGGTAAACTGGTCGCCACGAGTGTGTCGGGACTCAGCCTGACACTTCACAAAAACCTGTTCACGGCCTGCGGCGTGATTTCGATTCTCATCTTTTCATGAGCCTGCTGCAGTGACAGATGACAACCCCTGGCAAAAGTCAGCGAATCAACACATTTGGATGATGTTCATTCAGCCTCAAACACATTCAACACTTTTCTTTTTTTGGGCAGTAGAAGAAAAATAATGTTGGAATCACTTTGCGGTTTTCATTTCTATCTGCACAAACCTGAATATGAAAGAAGTCTGCAGAGCCAAAATAATGTTTCTTTGTTCCCTGATGATGTAATGTTTCATATCAAGGGCCAGATTTACTCAGCGGGTCGGTTAGGTGTGGTTAGTTTGGGTGACATACAGAAGTTAGTTTTCTAAACAGACGATCTTCATGTCAATATCAAGCACAAAAAATAAGACGTGCTTTTTTTTGCACCTGCTGGTGCAATTTGCAGTAAACTGCATCTCAAACTTTGTAACTGTTTAAACACTTGATTTAAATATTTTCTGTGCAAATATTTTGTGCAAAGGAAACTCCAAAGACCGCGTCCCTGCCTCCTGTGGAATCTTGGCTCTGTGTTTGTCCTCAATACTGACAGTATTTTGTGTTAGTTTGTGCACAAAGCGTTGGCTAATCTGTAACATAAACAGGTGACAAGGCATGAGCTTATAAGCACATAATGTGCAACAATTAAACTGTAATCAATCAGCTGTTTTAGTTTTTTATCATATTTAGATTCAGCACAACAAAATCCATTCGAATAAAGGAAATCATCATTTTTCCTTCACTTAATTTGGAATAAATAGCATTATTCAAAATAATCTGACAGCCAGAATGTTCAGGTGTATTTAATAAAAACAACTGCAAAGTGAAAAAGTTGAACAAGCATCCTCCAAATGTGCCGATTCCAGGAGTTTCCGTAAGATTTCAGAGTGAGCGTCTTATGAGCAGCTGACCAGAAATCAGAGACTCCAGGCCACCACATCAACATAACCCCCACCTGCCGACCTGATTTAAAGAAACATGACGTGGTTCGTGCAGACTCTGAGAACTCGCCTGCTGTAATCTAGAGCAGCTTCATCCATCTCAATCTAGCGATGAGAGACACTAACTGGATTTACTTTCCCAGACCAGAAAAAAAACCAAGCTGTGTGTGATTCAGCGGCGTCCAGCCTCCGTGCCTGGGCCCAGTTATCCGGGCCAGCGCGGGATGCCTCTACATTCCTAAATCTGACATCATCATTAGAGAGTCGACCGTCGGCATCGTTCACGGCAGCCGCACGAGGACAGGACAACCTGATTCACGCCAGGAAACCAGATTTGTTCTACACATGTGCGAAAACAGACGTACTTCCTGTCAATGCTAAAATTACAAAAATAATTAACTCATAAATTTTTAATTATTTTTTTTCATGCAAGAGTCTGATTAAAACTATTAAAACTGTTTCTACCTGACAGCTGTAACTTTATATTACTGAAGCACGTCTCCCCTCTCCGAGTCAGTTTATTAGGACGTTTCAGATTTTACAAATAAAGCAACATTTGATCTTCGTTGGTCTAATTCTCCAGCCATACACACTGATAAAATAATCTATGCTAGATCTCTACAATAATAATAATTATTATTATAATTATAAACTTCACAACTTGTGTACATGGATCAAAAAGTTCACTTGAAAAGGAGAATTTAGTTTGTTTAATTAGTTCCATATATAAGAAGCAAGAAAAGGTAATTAATTTTTTATTTATAACAATAATAAATATTCTATTTCATAACCAGTGAAATCAAAGTTAAAATTGTATGTAATGCTTAAACAAGCCATTTCACCTTACAGCAGTCAGTGTGTAAATGCTAAGGGCTTTTACTGTGAAAGGAAGGAACAGGAAGAAGGCCTTTTCACACGTGCAGAACAAATCAGGTGCAGATTTCAACACTCACTGCAACTTTATATAAACTCTCTAACGTTAGGAAGCAGCTTGAGGATAAAATGAACCTGAAGGCAGACTCTTTAAAGTCTTTTAGCTCATAGTTGCTGAAATCCTGCGTGCTTTATTATCCTGCTCTTTGCACAGGGTGGCTCTTATTGTGAAGCAGTTACAGGTACACACGTCTCATCAACAACATGACTGACAAAAAACATGAATTTCATGGTTTAGTTTATTTGGTTATCGTTTCACCATGAAAAGAGATGAAACACTGTTCTGTGCCATTTCTGACAAAGTGATGCATAAAGCTGCATTTGGAGGGGAGAGGGAGGTGGGAGGGGGGCGGTGGCGGCATCGGTCGACAGTCTTACCGTGTGGCTCTGCTGAGACTGGGTGGAGCCATATATAGTGATACCATTGGTTGGTGGTGCCAACTGTGGCACGTCTGCCTCGACGAAGCCGCGTCTGTCGATGAGACTAATGAGAGAAAAGCCGAGAACATTGTTACCGTCAGCAAACATTACACAGCAAAGGTCACTCAGCAGCACAATAACACAACACACAGCTCCGACAGGCCCGTCCTGCTTTAACCAGAAAGGAAAAGGTCGAGTTGATCTCGCTGTGGGTCAGCAGACGACCAAAGAAAGAAACGGAATGAAACAAATGAACAAAAGAGCTTTGTCGCTCTAACAGAGAGACTTTTATTAAACTCTGACCCTGTGGTTTTACTGTTGACAATAAAAGCAAAGATAACTACTGTGTGCGGTGTGAACTATTTTCTGATACCACTGCTGCAGGTCAGGAAATACCAGCTTCTAAAATGATTTAAATACAGTCTCAGATGCACAACACATGACCCGTTCCAGCGTGTCATCATTTAACAAACGGCCCTGTGAAAAACTGAGCCCGCCCCATGATTCAGTAGCTTGTGGCGACACCTTTGGCTGCAGTAATTTACAGTAATGATTTTCTGTGACAGTGTTGTCCTCTTTCTTTGCAGCGTTGCTCTCAGTCAGTTGTGCAGACATGTTTATGCACAGCTCTCTGAAGGTGCCACTACAGCATTCAGTCAGGGTTGAGGTTGGACTTTCACTGGACCGTTGCTGCCGTGTGTGGGATCACTGTCCTGTTGATGACCTCGTGCCGATACCCTGTGGCTCTGGGCACATTGCCCTCTGACACCCTACTGACAATCGGTCATGCTCTGATGCTTCAGATCAACAAACCACCAAAACTTCTGCTTTTATCAAAGTGCTCACACTGCTGGCTGTTACTTACAGAAGGGATGGTTTTAGTTTTTGTTAAATAATTACTGAGACCGTACTATGTCACCTGAGGTTGTATTTACCTCATTTTAAGAGCAGCTAATCTTATTATGTCCTGATATGCAGCACCTTGGAAGTGAATGAGGGCGTACTTTCTGTTAAGTGTGACTGTACAGTCGCTCATCTGTGGAGTGAACCATCATTTCCAACCCAAGGTTAATGCTGCACAGCTCTGCTGGTTAGAGAAGAACCTGCTGAACTTTGCACAGTGATGGCTCCGTGTGATGATAGGGGCTGTTTATCAGCCAAACACAGGCCGATCGGACACAGCTGAGGCATCAAGCTCGATAAGAATTTAACACAAAGTGCTGACGGTGAGCTCCAGCAGGACTGAGCTGGAATGAAGCAGAAACCTGCAGTTTGATGCATTTGAAAGTCTGAGTGGAGAATCTGTGCAGGGAGTAAAACACAAAGGGCTTTTGTCTCTGTGGGTCTGAGCTCGCTCAGTCCAAGAGGCAGGTGAGGCCAGCTGTGCGACACCTGTGGTGCCACACACACACACACACACACACACACACAGCCAGATGGCAGCCACCTGTGAGCCGAGGACTCTCCTTTGCCACCCGCTGCAGCCGTTATGGGAGATGCATAGCTTGTGACGGCAAAATCACAGAAGAGTCAAACACACTGACACATCATTGCTGTTCTTATACATGTGCATATACTGAGGAACTCTGCAGGTACTTAAATGCAACGTTAAAAGCTGAAAATTCCTCAGGATAAAGAGATATTTGTGCTGTTCTGACAGAGTCGATCCAAGGTGGCGCCTCATTTCTAACCACCAAGCCATAAAAATCAGAGGAAACGGCGACTTCAGATTCACGGATGAGTAATGAGAATGGGCACTGGCAGAGACGGGTTTGTAAAGTAATGAATTTGCACAATAGTCACCATCTTCTGAAACATTAAAACCCACCACAGAGAAAACTTTGAATCTCTGTTAAACTACCGATTCCTTGTTTCAGGCAGAATTTGCTTACCTACATAATCTTTATTCATGTAAATGATTGAGTCCAGTTTGCTTTCAGGACACTTTGTCTTTAAGCTTTTCAAAGGTTCGGTATTTAAAGGTGGACTGTGGTATACTGGGGAGACCTTTCACTCTCCTTTAGTGGAAAAATATGACAAGAACTACAATTTGTAATCTACAAAGTAAGGAACATGGATGAAGTGTTTGACAGAACGTGAAGTTGTACGATGGGAAACTAAAGTAATGACTTGCTGTGTTGTTCCTTCATGTAATAAGTTTTAAAGGTTGTCCACATGTGCAGGCATATGAAGGAGCAGTATGTCGACATATACAGATGGGGAACTGAAATCTACCGTAGCACATAAGAACAATGCCGGGGGGCAACGTGCAGTCGCACAGACACGAGCTGACAGCTGCTCTGTGTTTTTGTTCGATCACATGGGCAGAAAAGTATAAAAATCTAATCAATGTGGGAAACTTTGATCTCGGATTTGGTTCAAATAGGCCTGAAATGCTTTGCAGTATCTTTGCTATGTTTAGAGAAAAGGCTGCAGGCATGCTCATTTCACAGCAGCTCCTCACATCAAACACTTCTGAGTAACAGTTTTATTTTTGCCTCTGGAGAAAATGGGAAACTACGATGACACTGAGATGGCTTTTCCCCCCCAGAGCAGGGAACGATGGGCCCTTTGTCCTCATCTGACCATCGAGGAACGAGGAATGCGTACATCGCCTCACAGAAACACAAACACCCACACCCAGCCTACCTCGGTGGCAGGGGTCCACACAGCGCTGCGCAGCAGTTGGTGAATATGTTTCCATAGCTGTAGGGGTTATAGTTGTCCTTCCCTCTTTTAGATGACCATGAACCTTTTATCTGCAGAGATGCAAAGCTTCAGTGAGACAGATAAATATCCAAAGTGTCATCGATAAACAGACGCTGCTGTTTGTGTCTAGTCTGGAGCTCAAGCGGGCCGTGCGCACTTCTGTCCCGTGACCTTGAAAATTATCATCGCCATTCTCGAATCAGCTGAGCTCACCGGCGAAGCTCGAGCACCACTCACTCACAGTCTGAGGTGAAAAGGAGTTACAGCTGTGAGTCCATGGTTCTGTGCAGCTAATGAACACACACCATACAGATGAGCAAATAATCAGAAACTCCATTAAAAACGCTTCTTTTAAAAGGATTAAAATGCACACGTCAGCGTTTTTGTAGTTTCCAGATTTTCAGGCTAGCAAGGAACCAACGTCACTGAGAACTTTAAAGAACGAATATTTAAAAGTATTTGCCTGTCATATGTAATCAGTCCACAACCACTAGATAAACATAAGACTAGAAAAATAAAGATAAAAAACACAGTGCCGAGGTCCATAAGGGAAGGGAAGGGAAAAAGGGAGGGTAAAAAGCGGCGAGACGGACGGCAAGCCAAGTGCACCGGCGCCATCTTTCAGATTAAAACCTGAAAATCATTGAAACTGTAAAAAATAACAACTACATGTGATGAGCTGGAATTTTAGAAGCTAATTTTGAATTGTATGCTGGGAATATGCTTCTGAAAAAAGTTGGGACGCGGACGTGTTTATGTTGTTTTTTTGCAGAATGTGAAATAAGCCACACCCACACTTCAGCATTAATGAGGCCATTACACGTTTGATTCAAGCTGCACCAACGCACACTCACGGTGTCGGCTCCTGAACTGTTCGCTCTCCTCTTTCCCAAATGGTCCAATTTTGTTACCCATAAATATTTGGTCCAGAGGTCAGTGTACTCAGTGACCCGATGGCTCAGGGCCAGCTACTGGCCTTATGTTACTTGTGAAGCAAACCGGCTTAAACAACTCATCAATATTTTTGATCATTTCTATCAGAATTTAAAATTGAAGAAACCGTTTCAGGAAAATGAAATAAAGAAACGTTGCTTAGTGTTGAGGAAACTGCAGGAAGGCGCCGCGTGTGCTGCAGGATGTGAGAACGAGCGTTTCCCCTCACATTTGTGACAACAAATAGAAAAGTGTTCTCTGTGAATAACAACTTTTCAAAGACTTGGCTTCTGTTTCTCCACAGTGAAAAGGCGATCACATGTGTACTTTAACATGGAGACGGAGCCTCTGTTACCATCCTGGGCTAAAATTCAAAGCAGCTGCTCAGTCAGCTTCAACATGAAGAAAAAGTCTTTCACGCATAAATTAAAATCAAGCCTAACCCTGCGAGCCCTCCGCTAAATATACTTAAAATCTTTCGATTGAAATGATTTGGCAGATGTAGAATATGACGATGAATAAAGACGCTGTGTTGTTGTACTATTACAAAAATGGGCTCGTTTTCTTCTCTCGGGCCAGTAAAGCTCTGATCCGCTGCCTCGGGCTTCCTGTGGGGAGCCCCTCCCCCACTGAGTCTAATCACGTTAATATTAAAACTAACGAGCAGTTCGACGCTGCAGCAGGTGTGACGCTTTAGTATCACACAACTTTTCTCGTGTTGTGTGCCCGCTACTTTCCAGTTGCTGGCACCGAATTGAAAATGAGTGAATGAACCAATAAAAAGATCAAATGGTTTTAGTGCCGTTTCAATTTAAAATAACATTTATGGCGTTCCTGCCCTTTAAATGGAGTCTGTTAGCACACGACACATGTGAACATTCTGCCTCGTTTCTGCAGCGTGTGGTGTAATGCACTTTGTGTCCATACTCACGTCTTCATTGGTGGTCTGGTTGGAGCTGATCAGGTAGGTATGGAAGCCTGAGAGGCCCACGATGGACCACACAGAGAAGAAACACACCACCACTTCCAGCACAGTGACACAAAGAAGTCAAGGAATAACTCTGCTGTGGTGTTCATGCAGTGACAGATGATAATATGAAAGCTCATACAATCCACGGAGCCAGCCCGAACACCGAGGTGCTGCCGTAGCAGCGAGCACACTGACCCACAGCCTGAGGGCCGCCCTCCTCTCGCCAGTACTTCCCAGTTACCAGTTCGTTTGGCTCGTACTGCTCATTTTCTCTACTCCACATACACGCACTGTTCGAGATGAATCCTCTACACAAACAAACACCGCTGACTCTTAATGTGCACTACCTCCAAGGATGACACATACAAATACCCAGACACCATAACTAAGTGCCTGAAGGGCTGCTGGAAAATGCTCAGTAGGTTAGCATCATACTGCATCCTCTCAGAAACTTTACATAATGCCCTCATGCTCTTCTTCTCTCTCCTCCAATCTCTTCCTCCTCAGCAAGGACAAAACATGTCATCATTCTTCGAGCACAAAGGCCTGCTGCGATAGTATCGACTGCAATTCAGCTTTATTAAAGCCCTGTAGGACAGCAGACTTTATCAGCGTGGCTTGGCACATTTCTCTGCCTCAGAAAGTTATCGCACTCAGGCACAGAGAGAAGGGCAGCGAGAGAGCGGCGGTGTGGCAGTCCGTGCTCTGAACCGGATTTGTGTTGTACACCGAGCACCGGGATCATTTAGAGGCGCTCTGAACGGGCTTATCAGTCCTGACCTGGCACGACCCCACGCCTTATTTAAGTGAGAGAAGACATCAAAATATTTAAAGAAGAAGCAGAAGAAAATGCATTAAAGGGCTGCCAAAATAGTCACGAGCTGCTTCATGATTAAAAGCGAATAAAAGCGAGGCTCTGCTGCCTCCATCTAACCTTCTGCAGTAGAGGCCACATTAACTCCAAATCATCATGTGAACAGTTCACAGCTAAAAGGCTGCGATGAACCTCTTTGCTCAACTTTATCTGACTTACAACAGTCCAGACGTGGCTACAATAAACACAATAATTGTAACAACACCCACACACACCGTCTGAGTCACATGACACAGCTGAAGAGCGACGCAGAGACGAGTCAGAGCCATAAAAATTTCGCTGTCCTGCGTGCCGCGTAAGCCCCGCAGTACAAGACTAATCAGATGCATGTAAGTCATGCAAGAGACACAGCTGGAGAAAATAGCAGAGCGATGGAAGGCATGCAGATAAATCTGACCTATGGAATAATCTGCATGTGTAACATCAGAGTAATCATTGGGAATATAAATGTTTGTGAGAACGCTGGCTGAAATTCAGGTTTATACAGAGCCAGTTCACCACAGCGTTCACCTCAAGGAATTTTATATAGAACAGATTCAACAACCAGAGCAGCGCTCGGCATCCTGGGAAGTCCCAGAGCAACCTGAGCCTCAGAAAGACAACCGACGGAGTCACCTGATCCATAAGCTTTAAAACAGAGTTTGAATCTTGAAAGTAGAGATAGTGTCTGTTTCCTGAATCCAAACTGGAAGCTGGTTCCATAGAAGAGGGGCCTGAAAACTGAAGGCTCTGCCTCCCATTCTACTTTTAAATACTCTAGGAACAACAAGCAGGCCTGCAGAGCGAGAGCAACACGCTCTGTTAGGATAACAGCTACGAGTTACTGAGGTCCTAAAGATATGACGGGGCCTGATTATTCAACTAAATTCAGCCAATGCAGAGAAGCTAATTTGGGATAAATATGATGTCTCATGTTCTCTAGTCCCAGTTAGTGTTTAAGATCACATGAAGGTTTTTCTAGTCTGATGATGAATTACAATAACCCCCACGACAATAATCAGCAGTTCTCCAGCATCACTCAGGCAGATGTTGCTATTTTTAACAACGCTGATGAGATGAAGGACAGCAACGATACATGTGTGATTTACGTGACTGCTTAAAGAAATATCCAGGTTTAAGTCGACACCGACGTGGAACAGTGAAAGGATATCTGGCAGGACTGTTTTTGAGCGCGCTGAGGAAGCCGTTTTGATGAGAGCCTGTGAAAGGGAAAAACAGTTTCTGTTAGAGCAGCACGCAGCTCGTGTTTGCTGTTTGCAGAATGTGGGACTTGTATGAGATACTGAGCACTACGCCATTACCTGCTGCAAACACTGTCCTGAGTAAAGGTTAAGAGTTGACAAGAAGAACTGAGCTCAGCCGAGTGTGCCGCTTTAATTGGCTTTCCAATTTAGCTTCCAAGTGTGTAGAGAAGCGGCACAGAGCCAGATGAAGGAGCTGGCCCCCAATAAGTGGTTATAGGGAGCATCTCTACCTACTGTGTTCTTCATTCATTCAGACTTACAAAGTGGATTAAAGGTTACAATCAGTATCTATGAAGGACTGCAGCCACCTGTATACCCACTCTGAGCCAGGAACATTTTTATTCATCCCTACAAGCTAATCCTGACCCACGCTGCTGTTCCCAGCACTCGCAGTCATGTATCCATGGCTTCAGAGGACATTAGTCCAAACTTCGTCTAACTGTAACTCAACCATAAGCTAACTGCATGTAGCCTTTTAAATAAAAGGGAGATTGCACGCTAACATGAGCACGTAGGTCCATCTTGTAAATTTGCTGCAGTCCCTGAAGGCTGGTGAGGTCAGAATCATACGAATACCACAAAGACACGATCACTAAACCACAGATGATCTGTAGAAACAGTGACTTACAGGATGCTGTTTCACATTAAGACAGATTTAATTTTCCTCTATTGTTTGACAGTCTGGGAGAAAGATGTCAGAGATATGTCGTCAGCTGTGTGGGTTCAGTATTTTTCTCAAATCTATTTTACAGTCCTGTCTGGTAGATGTGGGCATGTTGTGATTCGCTTTAACAAACTCATCTAGAGCAGGTGGATGCCACGATATGAAAACTCAAACACAACTATTCTCCCAAATTAAGAAACACATGCAGATATAATTTTACACTGATATGAATCTCTTTTTTTTTTTAAAGAGGACAAGAGCAGTGAGGCCTATCGCAATAGTTTAATTTTTCTATCGAGAAAAAGTTATTTCGCAATACATGTCGTTACCGTTCTATCGCCCAGCTCTAATTCTGGGACAGCTTCTTCTTCTTCTTCTTCTTCAGGGTTTAACGGCAGCTGGCATCCTTGTACATGCAGTGCTGCCATCTTCTGTTTCAGTCCGTTATTACACTCTTAAATCCTGCTATTATTCCTGCGTCTTTTGGGATCTTACAAAGCTTCAAACGACACGTCGACTATTAAATCAGTCGTTGACGATTTTGATAGTCGACGTAATCGTGACTAGTCAACTAATCGTGTCAGCCCTATTTAAAAGAGAGCAAAGTTCCCGTATGTCCACATCAGTCATTAACTAAACATCAGAGGACCTACAGCTCAACCTTGAGGTTCACCAACAATGTTATTGTTGTACTGCTAATATGTATTCGTTTTCTGTCTTTAAGACATGATTTTATCCACCTGATTACACGAGATTACACAAGATGAAAACAGTAAACTTCGATAATTTGGTAGGATTAGCTGTATGAGAAGCTCGACTACACATCTACGATCCTACTTAACGTCCGCATTTTGGTCAAAGAAAAAGACAAAAACTGCAAAGGATACAATAATCTGTTTTGTGTCCCCATAAGAAAGGCTCTGTGATATGTCTCGCTCCCCACAACATGAGCAATACCTGAAGACACACACACTGAGCCCAACAACCCGCTGCCTGCTCCCAGCTGGAAATATGGTAAAAAGCCAGAAAGCTGCAGCTTTTCACGACGCCCACTTACAACCTGCTGACTGGAAACAGCCCGGAGGACTGTGCGTCTGCACTACGCCTGAGAGCACGCGTCCTTGTGGATACTTACTTAAAATGATGTGCGTGATGACGAAGGCGAAGATGAAGATGGTGAGGAAGGAGAGCGAGAGGATGAACATGTAGAAGAAGCGGTAGTTCCTCCTCCCCACGCAGTTCCCCACCCAGGGACAGTGGTGGTCGAAGCGCTCTGTGTGGAGAGGGAGAGACGCACAAGTTTATTCCGGTTTCAAGGACAAGCGCACCTAACGTGGCGATCCTCCAACGCTTCGGTAAAACTGGCTGAGACATCACGTTTCTCATAAAGCACAGATGTTCACAAACAGAACCAGGTCACTTCAGTGCAGATAAACAGCACAAATCCTGAACTGTGGGAAACTGGGGGAAAGGGGAAAGTGTCCCTCTGGGTCTTGGCATTATAATATAAAACATTTTCACAAAGGACAACCTTCCTATTTATATAACGAGATAATAGAGAAATGATGTGTTTCTTACATGACTGAGTAAAACTCTCCCTGCCACAGTGGGACGAGGTTGAAGCCAAGAATGTTTGAAATCGACTGCTTGAATAAAATTGCTGGTAATTTTTGATAAACTGCTCTGTAATTCTTGATGTAGTTTGAAACCTTCAGCTGCTTGTGAAATCCTTACCATTAAAAGTCAGCCGGTGACATTTTATTCAGCCAAACTGAAAGCAGCTCCAGGGCACCAATCATGTCACTGATTGCTGTTAGAGCTGTTACTTCATCAGTCTCACTCCACAGTCCCATGTCTGAGTGTGGAACACTAGCTGTGCACAGTGGTAGCCCCTTAACTAATTAATCAGAGCCATTATTGGTTTAGTGAGATGACATGACCTCGATTTGTCTCCATGAATCAACGCCTGGTTAACCGGTGCCTCCCTTTAGACAAACACTGTAAACACTAACAGTAAAAGCTGCCGATCACAAAGTCTGCCCCCTATCGTTACCGTTAGGTGACCAATGATTGTGGAAGAAGGAAAAACATGTTTTATATGGTAATTGTGGGCTCTTTGGCTCAAGGGATACCACAGGGTCGCGACACTGCTTTTTCAAGAGCGTTTTCAGATCTAAATAACATAAAAACAAAAGTTAAAATCCATCCTCGATACACGACTTGACTCTCTTTATCATCTTTGAAAATCAAATTTAGAACTTAAAAATTCAAAGAATCTGCAGAAATGCAGATCCCAGCGCACGGAACAATATTCTGCAGCGATTAAAGGATGAAGTGTAAAATAGACCCGTTTCATCTCGTTACCTTTACACTTTATGGATCAGGTGGAGACTACGGCTAACACAAGATGAGACGGCAGTGATAACCTATAACGAAAACTAGAGATGGACCGATCCGATATTACGTATCGGTCCAATACTGACCTAAATTACTGGATCGGATATCGGAGAAAAATAAAAAATTTAATCCGATTCATTAAATATCACAAAAGCACCTCACAAAACTTGCGACATGGCATAACTCAGCTCATAACCTTAGCACGTCGGAGCAGTGTGCTCACGTGATAGAGCGGCTGTGGCGTGCGAGACCTGTCAGCGGTCTGGTTGAGCATTTGTAGCCTCGCTACCAAATCATTTCAGCTCCAAGAAAGTGATCCCAGAGAGAAGTAAAGCAAGTGTGTAAGTCCATCTCTGAATGTTTGTAAAGCATTCCCACATTAAGCTTAACAACTGATATATGGAGCGACTGCCTCTCCCTCCCTCTTCTTGCTGCTACTTCAATCATGAAACTGCTTAATGATCAGCTGATCGGCTTTTCTGTCGATAGTCCGTCTCTCTTCTTTGTTTTTGGCCCACTTTGCACCAGAAAGAGGAAACCAGCGACTGAACAACAGCAGCACTATTAACCTTGATAAGCTGTTGTAAGAATGTATTTAATATTACTTTCTACACCAGGATCTTTTTCTACCCAGCTGACGGCTGGTAACTGTGCAGGGGCGGATCTAGCAAAGTTTAGCCAAGGGGTCGATAGGGCATGAACAGGGAAAAGGGGGCACAAAGACATACTTTTCTTTCTTATTCTCATTTAAAATGTCGAGCTTTTAATAAATAATTATCTGAATCTTACACCCAAAGTTTTAATCTGATGTAAAATGTATAGAAGTCCATTACTGTATATAGTAACTGTTAAGTCTAATAT